CACTAGTATAATATAAGTATATATGACTGAATACATAAGGTTCGTAATCAACATTGATTTCATAATCACTTACATCTACATAATTCTCGTACTCTAAAAATGAATAAATTCATGATGCATTAAAAATAAAATCAATTCAACTGCATATATTACTCACATACCATACTTCAGATCATTAAAATTCATCAAAACTATAAAGATACATTTCTGAATATTTTTTTATATACTGTAATCTTTATGAATATAAAATTTTAAACCTTTAGCATTGATGGTTATAAAATAAGATTGCATTTTTAATTTTCATGTAAACTTGGAATCACTTTTTTGAATTGTAAATATTATGTGAATGCAAAAATATGGCTTTATATATAGCAAGTAATCAATTAATTAATCATTATGTATTTGTACCAGATACAATTAGAAATGAGATAAAACCAAAAATTTAGAAATTTTTATACATGATTTTAACGGTTTGATTGATTACAACTTTGAGAAAAATTAATCCAAAAAAAAAATCACATGACTTAGCATCATCACATGATTAATATATAAATATCGAATCGATTCCCACCCCAGTTGCATCTCTCGCATTTTGATATATTCACTTCCTGTTTCAGGTCTCAAAAGTCTTGTATTATATTGCTTAAATATGGTATTATTTGGTATATAAAGAAACATTTGTGTGATATTTTTCCCAATATGAAATACTAACCCTAAATACCTTATAATGAACAGACTAAAGAAAAGAATAAAACTTACTAAGAAAACTAAAATGAATGATGGGATTGAGGATGGAGATTCAGGAGATATATATGACAAGTTCTTCGGAATTTATGATCCAAGAAAAGTTTTCGCAGTTGAATTTTTTGCATGGCTCCTTGCTCAAGGAATAGAAACAGATTTTAATGACGACCAAAGCACAAATAATTTCTTTCTCAGAGTTGACAAACTACAAAACGATGCATGCTGGAGATCATATAAAAAAGAGTTTGAAGAAACTCGCAAGGTTATTTTTACTTAATATTTTAATATTTTATCATTATGATATCAATGATGAATGAATATTAAACTTATCAAATCAACATTGACAAAGTGATTTACAAGCAGGAGCAAAAAACTTTTTTTTCTCGTACTGAGCTACCCTATTTAATTTCATTTTTGTTGATGGCAAATGTATTGCCAAATTCACCTGCAGAATTTGTTAAAACTAATGTTTACATGTGGGTGGTTTTGACTTACACTTTGTGATTTGATATGTCACTCTTTTAGAAAAAACATGTTTTTGAGGATATCTTATTTCTTTAATATAATTGTATTTTATACAAATAATTAATATATTTTTTTTTATATTGAATTCAAGACGGATAGAAGAAAGGGCAACAGAAATGCACGCATAGCTTATATAAATATGATAAAAAATAATGATAAAAAGTTTGTGTCTCATACTTTGGAGTATATTGAACACCTAGAAAATAAGTTGATACCGATGACAAGCTTTGATAAATCTCTCTGGAAAAGATTTATTACTAATATAAGAGCCATCAGTGTTAGTACTTTATTATTATTAACCAGTATCAAAAATCTGGTTTAATATTTAGTAATTATAGGATCAAAAAGATGCCTCGAAATGGACATTAACAGATAAAAATAATATTGAAATTGATATTGTCAAAACAATTTGTCAAAGTATTACTGAGGAAATGATAATGAATCTAGAGTATAATAATCCTTTATTATCATATGTGGTTGATTTTTCAAATCTACCCAAAGAAATCAAAGATGCATTTGATAAGCAAACGCTAATCACAATGACAGCTCCACACAATAAAATTCTATCGAGACATAGATCCTACTTTAGAAAAATATTTTGTAAACTTGTATGAAAACCAACAAGTGTGCGAAAAATTATTTCCACAAGTCAGCGATGCAAGCTCTTTATTTCTGGAACAGTATTTTCTTTGGAAAGCAAGCTGCAAACTGTAAGTGAATAAATAAATAAATAAAATGAATATTATTATATATTTCATTTTGTATCCTAATTTCAATAATCAGTAAATTTCTTAAGATTTGAGATGTGGAATAGTAATAATTTTAATAAAGACTTCATGACTACGTTTAATGAAGGTACATGGGAACATTTTGCATTACACCCAATATTTGATATTTTGACTTTACGTTTAGATAAATGCGTGTTACGCTGGTATGTAAGAATATGCAATTATTATAATTATCTAACATATTATAAGTTTCTGTGTTTTCTTTTGTGTTTAGGGGTGAAAGTACATCAAGTGCATCAAAATATCGAAAGACTGAAAATATAAAATTTGAGAAAGAAACTCGTGAACATTTAGATCGAATAATAGCACTGTTTCTCATGTCTTCACAAGCAAAGAAGGCAGATAACTGGATTGAAATGATGATTGCAAAAAATCTTTATGAGATTGTATTTGCTAAAACATAAGGGTCACCATTTCAAGCTACATGCACAACTAAAAAGGTGTATAATGATAAACGTAAATTAATACGCTTTGGGCATGATTCAAAAAATAAAATGCTCGATGAACTTATTGAGAAGAAATACATATATTTATCTGATTGGAAGAACCTTTGTAATGACATTTGTAAGGTTGAATTGTTGTTATTCCAAGCTTATGGTAATTGGGTTTTATATGTTTCTCTAGTATCGAACCCTGTCCCTATTGGTTTAATTTTTGGCATTACTAAACACATTTGTTTCAATATTTTAGAAGCGAAGCTCAAAGTTAGTGTCTTAGATTGTCCAGCACACCCTTTTTGTCACGTGCAAGAATTATTTGACTTAGATATTCCGTATAAAAAAGTAGTAATAGAAGAATTTAAGTTATTTATTCAAGCTTTATGGGCAATCAGATGTGCACTATCTGATATTATTCATGACTATGAAAAGACTGTTAAAAGATTATAATAAGATTGCTGGTTCAGGCCTGTATGAAGTTAATTGTGGAGTACGAGGCTATCAGTCACACCCTTCTCCGTAATAGAAAACATTTTTTTTTAGTTATCTTTGAAAATGCTTCTTAAATATAATCAACAAAATTACATAATAAAATCTCTCATTACAATAATTCAAAGTTAAAATTTAAAGAAACTTCAGATCTTTCAGATAAAAAATATTTTTTAATCAAACTTGATCGAGTGCCTCATTAAACCCAAAAAGAAACGTTCCGTTTCAGTAACTTTGAACTTTCTGTCACGTGTTTTAATAGAAAGTTCAAAATTAATTTTTAATTGAATGCATAAAAAAAAATATAGTTTTTGTTCGACTCTTACAGATAAAGTATTCTTAGTTTTAATTTAGAAAGATAAAAGATAATTTTTCTTGAAGTAAAAATTTTGGAATAAAATTTTTTATAATAAAGAATGAAGACTTAATTGCTGATAAAAATGTGATTTCTGATAAAATAGGTTCTAAAAAAAATGGATGCCTCTATCACTATACATTACTTTTTTTATTATAGTATTACAGACCCACAGGTCTGTAATCATAGCCGAAGGGGTTGAGAGTCGATTATATTGTGCAAGTATATTTTGTGAACAAAATATCACTGTTTAAGAAAAAATATACAATGATATACTTCTAGGATTTTTTTTGTGATAAATCATTGAGTTTTATAATTAAAATAATTGGTTTTATTTTGATTAAAGTTATTTTTTCAATTCC